CTGCTGCTCTCCCTGCCGGGTACGTATCTGCGCCTGTACAACGGCCGTGTGGCTGACGCCCGCCGGGGAAGGTCGGCTTGGCGGAGAGCTGCCCGCGCGGTGGGAGTAGTCCTGGCAGCCAGAAGGCAGGAAAGCCCAACACCGGGCCTGCAATGCCGAGGCAGCCCGAGCACTGGGACAGAAAGAAACACAAACACTCAGGGTGGATGTGGGGCCCTGCTCTGCCCCCCCACTGCAGCCTGGGAATAGGGGCCGGGGAAGCGGATTGTCTGGGGGGGGGATCAGTGGAACTGCTGGATGTTGTGATAAGACTGAAAGGCGGGGTTAGCAAAACACGCTGGAGTTTCCCCTGGCTTTCCCCCTTCGTTCAGGGCCTGATCTCTACCGTTCGGCCCGTAAGACACGGTTGTTCTGGGGATCTTCTGAAAATGGAACGTGGCACAGGGCAGGGAACCTGGAGACCCCGAGCTTTGGTGCCCGCTTTGCCGCTAACTTGGTGTGCGAGCAGGCCACGTCCTGCCTCTGTGGCCCAGGGCTCCTGTCAGCAGAAGGGGTGTAATAAGACATGTCCACCTTTGTAAAGCACTTCTAGACCTCCAGCCACAAGGCCACACGGCTGTAAGTGACGGGCACCTTGTGCTACGGAAACAATAAAGCCTGGGGCTTGAGAGTCAGTGCCTGGCTTCTCGGGTGAGCTAAGGAAAAGAGAAAGGAAATCAAAGCCGCGCCAGAGCATAGAATTCGTGCTGGTCGGAGCCCTAACGAACGCCAACCGGGCCAAGTTTGCGAGGGATTCTAAAGAGGGCAAAATCAAGTTCTGGAAATGAGCACGGTCTGGATTTTGTTTCAGAACTAGAAATAAAACCCCCAGTGCCCGGTTACAAACTCCTCTGCCTGCTTCATTCAGTGCAAACTGCTGAATCGTGTAAAAATCAACCCCCCCCAAAACCTGCCTAAAAATTCCATTGTCAAATAAAATTCCATCCCACCCACACAAATTAAAAATCTCAACACATGCAAACCCCACACAAACCTCTTTACCGACTTATTCGTTATTGTTATTGTATTGCTGCATTACGGTAGCAAGTATGGCACAGACATGGAGTGAAAAGAATCATATTATTATCAGTATGGGAATCATAGGACCATAGAACGGGAAGGGACCTCGAGAGGTCATCAAGTCCAGTCCCCTGCCCTCATGGCAGGACAAAGCACCATCTAGACCATCCCTGACAGGTGTCTGTCCAACCTGCTCTTAAATATCTCCAGGGATGGAGATTCCACAGCTTCCCTGGGCAATTTATTCTAGTGTTTCACCACCCGGACAGGTAGGGAGTTTTTCCTAATGTCCAACCTCCCTGAACCTCCCTGCAATCATGTCCCAGTTGTCTCTGCTCATATGAATGTCCTTAGTTACGTATTCATGACCATGTTACAACAGACCAATTGTCCTTCTAATCGTATCTCGTAAGAAAGCCTCACACTTTTTGTAAGCCATTCATAGTCCCAGTGTTGTGTTCCTTGTCTACCGGAAAGTACCATAGAAGCGGAGGGAATTGTGTGCGAGAATTCAGGGTTGGATCCGAGAGGTTTTGATCTTCTGTGGTTAATAACAAGGTTTATTAATCTCCAGAGCTTTCCATGGGATGGTCGGTTTGGATCACTGGCTCTTGGAACCTGGTAGAAAAATGCCCTGTTGTTGCGTTTTTTATTGGGGAATGGCCATCAATTTAACAAGAAAAAACTGAAGAAAAAACAACAAATGGTCTTGTAGCACTTTCTAGACTAACAAAACATGTAGCTGGAATCATGAGCTTTCGTGGGCACAGCCCACTTCTTCAGATGACTGGAGTATTAGAAGTCCAGATCCAAGAATAAATAAGGAGCAGGGGGGAGGAAAAAAAAGAGAAAAAAGGGGGAGGGGGAAGAGAGCGAGACAGTGAGTAGATGTTTCAAGTAGTTACAAAAGGCCGATAAGAACAATTAGCACCTCCATTAGTTAGTTGGTTGATTAAATCATTAGGAAGTGGAAGGCAGTGTGCGAGCCAGCTGATGCTGCTGTTCATACCACTTGCATAAGAATTAAACTTGTAAACGAAGTTAAGTTCCAGCCCTTCTCTGTGTGTTTGGCTCGTGGAATTGGCCTGAAACAACTGTCCCTCGGGCTGGGCTAGGAAGGGGCTCACCTAAAAATCTGGGTTTAGATCTAGGTTTCAGACACGGCCCTGTAAGCAGGCTGAAGTCCGTCTCCAATCCGGAGAGCTAGACGGGTTTCCTGGGGAAAGCACAGGGGAAGCTTATTATCGGTAATTAATGGTGGGGCGGCTCCTTCCCAGCAGTGAGTGTGACCAGCCTGAATCCAGCCCCCGGGGTTCAGTCAGCCGCGGCGCCAGGGCCTCGCTCTGGGTGTGTGTTTTGCCGGTGACGCTCGGCAGCGGTTCAAAGGCTCATGCCAGAGGGGCCTGAGTGGCCGGGTTGTGCGGGTTCATGTGCATGTCCCGGGAGACACGCTGCAAAAGGCAGCTGCCCCGGGCAAGCTTAGTGCCCACCCGCGTGTCCGTCTGCAAGGACGCGTCCGTTCTGATCTAGGGGTGTAAACTCCTGATGAACTGGTGAACCGGTTAAACCTGAGACGTGACCATTAACTGATTAAAAGGGGCGGTATCCATGCACACGTGGAACAGGCTCTTGGAGGAAGCCCCTTAGTGCCCCAGACCCCCACGGGGTCCTGCTCTTCCTTCAGGCTTGGCCACGCAGCCTCCCTGCCTCCTCACCTGAGCTACTCAGCTCCAGCCTCCCTATTTCACACCCTGGACTCTGCACGGGGAGCCCAGCGGAGATATCGGGGAGGGACTCGGCCCCTCTCGGGGGCTGGTGCCCCTCCCTTGCGTCTGCAGCGACACCCGCGCAGCCTTTGGGAGGCAGCCTGGGGTTTATCGGTCCCCTGGTGCACAGCGTCGGAAGTGCTTGCCTTCGCGCAAAGACGTGAGAGCGGGAGACCACCCACAGGGCACACTGGCAGGACGCAGGGATGCGAGCTCTACACCCACCAGTGTCAAGGGCAAACTCTTCAGGCCCGGGGACGACCTTAACCGGATGGCCCCCGAGCTCTCGCCACCCCGCTGCCCCTGCCTGTGTGACGGAGGGCCCCTGCCACCACGAATCACAGCGACATTCAAGTTGCTTCCAGCCCCAAAGGACTAGTCACGGACCTCGGTCAATTGCACCTTAGATCTTCCATCGAAGGCAACAAACATTGGGAGCCAATCCTGAAATGAACTCCGCACAGATTTATAAAGCGGGTAAAGGCAAGAGGGGAGTGATTCCCAAGGCGAAAGGAGACGATCATCAAACACAAACGAGTTATGAGCTTAAGTTTCAAAAGGTACTAGAAGCTTCTATAACCAGCATGCTCTCCGGGGCTACTGGGGATCTCTTGCTTGTGTCTAGAAATGTTGCTCCAAGCAGTTTCTCCTCTTTCTGGTTTTTATCTCCCTTCCACGTGCTGGGCCTGCAAACTCAGCTGATGGCAGGAATTCCCTTCCATGACTCCTCTCCATGCAGGGGGTGGGAGCAAGAGCAGGAGAACGGAGTCTTTTGTCCATTTTAATGACAATATTTGGGCAGGGCGTTCCACCTTCTTTGCACTAGTGCATGTCTCTTTCCTCTCGGGCGTGTTACATAAGCGCCGCGGCTCACACTACACATATTCTCTTCGGGTACATCTAGACAGCGGGCCTGTTTCGGGTTACCAGAGGCATCCCGAAATAGCTCCCCCATGTCTTTTAAACGTGCCCGTTCTTTCGAAATGTTTTTCAAAATAACGGGCATGCTCTTCCGGCATCCCTGTAACTTTTGTTCAGGAGGGTGAGGGGCTGTCTCGAAATAGCGCGTTATTTCGAAATGTGGCGCTGTGTAAACGCGCCAAATTTCGAAAGATGCTATTTTGCAATACGACGGCAGTAAGATACGCGGTGTGCGTTGCGCAAGTGGCGTGTCTTATTTGGAGTTTAGGGGGCTGTGTAGACACGCCCTTAGCCTGTGGGATGCAGAGCGAGATGAATGCCGGCAGCAACTCACACACAAGCAGGGAAATCTAAACACAAAGTCTCAGGCTGGCTTTAA